AAAGGTTTGATTTCTTTAAATATTACTTTATTAAATATTTTTATATTCAAATATAAAGAGAAGTCAGAAGTCATTTGAACTCTGGTGGATAGTTGTCTCATTGGCAATAATACCACATCTCCTTATTTGTATATGGACTTCTAAGCAATTCTTGATTACCAAAATAATTAGACAGTACATGTTCATGCTGTCCCTTTTTTTGTTGCTTTTGTTATTTCTGTGTTGCATTAGATAAAAAAGCATAGCATTGCATTTTGTGTTCTATCTGGCTAATTAGAGATGTGTCATAGCAAATGGGGATTTCAGCTTACTTAACCAAAATAAAAGAAATGATTGAAACAGATTGTATTATATGTTTTGAAGTGTTAACCTGCAAAGTAGTCATACAGGTAGATAACAACAAGCCATAAATCTTTATACACATAAATAATAATCATATAGATTTCCTACCACTTCATCAAGAGCGATTTATTGACATTAATTAGTAAAGAAGGTCTCACAGCTAGGGGGATTTTATAGTTACATGCTAAAGTCATTACTTTAGATTGATTTTGAGGGGCTGGATAATTGCTATTTAACATTTAGGTAAATAGACATTGCTACTTCAGGTTGTTACATAATGTGCATATAATTTGTTATAGAATTTTTTACTTATTTTGCTATTAAAAGTACATTCGGTGTTTTATACTTTTTGAAGACTGAAAAGTCATTATGAGTTTAATGGGAAGAGGGCTTCTACTTAACTTGTGAGATGATTTCCTACATAAAATAAATACCACATTAAATTAAAGGTTAACTAAGTACTGGAGTTCTAATTGTCCAATCTTCCAGCAAACTACTTAAAACTGGATTATGCTGAGAGGAATAGCATCAATTGTCAAGCCACAGGATAACGGCAAAAAAATTTAAGGCATTAAAATCTCCAGTTTCTACGATATATCCAGTCTCTTTTTAAGATACTAAAAAAATAGACGATAGAATGCATCCTAGATTACATCATGACACAAAAACACTTTGTACCCTGCTTAAGTAATTCAACAAACCCACCCCTACCAACTTCACAAAATCATCGTTTGGGTTTTTCAGCTCAAGATGACTGAATGGCTGAATGCTTCTCTTATACATGTCATTAGTGATCTTATTATAAGCTATGGTTTTGAATGAGTATATATGTGCCCCATGCTACTTTAACCCCTTTGAATGAGTATATATGTGCCTCATGCTACTTTAACCCCTTTGAATGAGTATATATGTGCCTCGTGCTACTTTAACCCCTTTGAATGAGTATATATGTGCCTCGTGCTACTTTAACCCCTTTGAATGAGTATATATGTGCCTCGTGCTACTTTAACCCCTTTGAATGAGTATATATGTGCCTCATGTTACTTTAACCCCTTTGAATGAGTATATATGTGCCTCATGCTACTTTAACCCCTTTGAATGAGTATATATGTGCCTCATGCTACTTTAACCCCTTTGAATGAGTATATATGTGCCTCGTGCTACTTTAACCCCTTTGAATGAGTATATATGTGCCTCATGCTACTTTAACCCCTTTGAATGAGTATATATGTGCCTCGTGCTACTTTAACCCCTTTGAATGAGTATATATGTGCCTCATGCTACTTTAACCCCTTTGAATGAGTATATATGTGCCTCATGCTACTTTAACCCCTTTGAATGAGTATATATGTGCCTCATGCTACTTTAACCCCTTTGAATGAGTATATATGTGCCTCATGCTACTTTAACCCCTTTGAATGAGTATATATGTGCCTCGTGCTACTTTAACCCCTTTGAATGAGTATATATGTGCCTCATGCTACTTTAACCCCTTTGAATGAGTATATATGTGCCTCATGCTACTTTAACCCCTTTGAATGAGTATATATGTGCCTCATGCTACTTTAACCCCTTTGAATGAGTATATATGTGCCTCGTGCTACTTTAACCCCTTTGAATGAGTATATATGTGCCTCGTGCTACTTTAACCCCTTTGAATGAGTATATATGTGCCTCATGCTACTTTAACCCCTTTGAATGAGTATATATGTGCCTCGTGCTACTTTAACCCCTTTGAATGAGTATATATGTGCCTCATGCTACTTTAACCCCTTTGAATGAGTATATATGTGCCTCATGCTACTTTAACCCCTTTGAATGAGTATATATGTGCCTCGTGCTACTTTAACCCCTTTGAATGAGTATATATGTGCCTCGTGCTACTTTAACCCCTTTGAATGAGTATATATGTGCCTCATGCTACTTTAACCCCTTTGAATGAGTATATATGTGCCTCGTGCTACTTTAACCCCTTTGAATGAGTATATATGTGCCTCATGCTACTTTAACCCCTTTGAATGAGTATATATGTGCCTCATGCTACTTTAACCCCTTTGAATGAGTATATATGTGCCTCGTGCTACTTTAACCCCTTTGAATGAGTATATATGTGCCTCGTGCTACTTTAACCCCTTTGAATGCCTTGTTTTGAAGTATTCAGTTTATATATAACAGAGAATTTTTTAAGAGTCAGGTCAACACCTCTCATGGGGAAATTTGGTAGGTCTGAAGGGCCAAAGGTCAACACCTCTCATGGGGAAATTTGGTAGGTCTGAAGGGCCAAAGCTTTATGAAATTTACTGCCAAATCTACTGACTAAGTAAAGATTTAAAAAATAACAAAGTTGCTTGATTACAGATAAATCAGCTTTGACTGTAGCTACTGTAAAGTGCTGTCATAACTAGTACTGCATCTGCATGGGATACCTGAGTTCATATTGAGATTTGATACATTTTGTGCATATTCTTAGTTATGCTATCTTGTCCATGCATTGTTCTTAGTTGTTTGTTTTTGTTTGTCAATTTTATCTGAGGATTTGGTTGTTGATATTTGCTTTGGTCTGTTGTACTGTCCATATTTTTGGTAATTTCTGTTATCAGATATTTTTTTTATCAAATCTTAAGTTTTAACACAATCCAAATATTAGATTTCCCACAGTTCCATTTCCTCAACATGTAATTTCTTCTCTTTTCGGTAAAAATTGAGATCAGTTTAGTACATAATTTGACCTTGAATACTGTGTTACCGTTATCAAATGTATATTAAGGTGTTATAGTAACTATAGGTCACTGTGTTATGTTGAGCTTTATCTAAACCAATTTCTGACTTGTGCAAGTTATGTAATTTTCCTATCTGGTAGGTCTAGGTTTATCCAGTAGGACTTTTTGTCACATGGAACCAGATATAAAGTATGGTGATGTTAGAATTTTGAAAAGAAATTGAGGGTAAGGGATTCTCAAAGTAAAGAAAAGTAAAAGTATATCATGAAATTTGAAATATTATTGACTGGTTTGACTACAAATAGTAAATAATGTGATGAAATTTTTTTTTAGTAAAATATAATGCACAGTCTTATATAAATTGCTATTAATAACATTGCACATAGAGCTAATTTTGCAAAAATGCACTTTATTAAAATGTCTCCTAAATCTAATTTTGCAACAATGTACTTAATAAAAAGTTTGTTCAATCTCAAAAGGGTCCTAATAATTTTAACATAATACATCAGTACAAAAAACTTTTCCTAAGTTTGGAGGCCTATAGAATATCATAGTTTATCTGTTTAGCTGAACCGTCGAGCAGGATCACTTCTGTGGTCTTCCTTCGTTGTCATCTGCAATCTCAGTGTTGTCTTTTTAGTGTTGTCTTCGTAGTCTCCGTCAGTCTCTGTCAAATGGCACGACAGAATTCAACTATACATGCACAGTACATGAAGTTGTGCACATGCTATTTTTACGAGTTTTGCAGTTTCCTATACCAAAACATAGACCCTAATATTTTTTTTATTTAAGATATATTATTTCAGATGGTAGGCGACACACGTTTTATTTTGTAGACTCACATTTTGTCTATTAAGGAAGATCATCGGCATATATTTCCTCAGATAGAATCTTTATATACTATGCAAAAATGTACATTTTTACCATGCTTTTTCATAAATATAATACATAAGGTCACTGTGCTAATTTTCAAGCAAAATTGCCCTATTTTGCATAGATTTTTTTCATAAAACAACACTTTTTTGTGAATAAAAAGAAATTATTGAGATAGAATTTTGAAATAAAATATGAGAAGATAGGTTGTATGATATTCTCTAAGTAAATAAAAGGAAAAAATGGTGTCAACTAACTTATTTTCTTGCTACAAGTAAGAAATGAAAATTTCATTAATATTCCTTTATAAAAAATTTTACTGTAAGAGTTATCACCCCTTCAATCATTGGCTAAGTTGAAATTTTTTTTTTTTTTTTTTTTTTTAAATATTTGGTATTTATTAAAACAGTCTAAATAATGCAATTAATAACTATTTTTTCTTTATTCAAATAAAAAGTTTTACACATCAATTGCCAATCTGTCTCAAAATCTGCAGATTTAACCTAAGAATTAGACTAATTGTGTACTGCTATTTTACAATCTAAGGTGGTGGTATACGGTCATTCTACCTTAAAGGTATCATTAATTTTTCGAAATTCAACTGTCAATTTTACATCGATATATTTGAATTTAATGCTGTGCAAAAGAATGACATACGTTTATGTTAAAGATAATCTATGACATGTATAGAAAGTTTTGCCACCTCATATTTCAGGATAAATTATAAATACCTTAGTTACATACAAATGCTTATGATTGTGTTACTATGTTTGTAGAATTTTTAAACTATTATTCTTTCCACATTGTAATTAAAGAATTTTCCTTTTTCATAATGTATATATATTTCCATTAATCTTTAAAATGAAACAATTGTCCGTTGAATACAGAATTACTCCAGAAAGAATTCCATTTAATTTATTGTTTTGGAATATTTTGTAACTAGAACAGAGACAAAAAACAAACAAAAGCTATATACATCAATAATTTTTTGTTGTTTAAGTATTACTTTTAAGCATCGGAAAAAATAATATACACAGTAGCTCTCCCAGGGAGTCAGGGATTACTGCATGTTCAGATTTGTCATGCTAAATTGTTAAAGTAAGGAACAGCAACAAATTGCTCTGACGTTAGTAGGCATTTTTTTTTTGAATTGGTGGTCCCAGGACCCCAGCAAGTCCAAAACAGGCTGTCAGATGTCAGAGCAATCACGGACTTCAGTAAATGATGGGCTGTAAGGTAATATTACATTTTAGATCCATCTTATATGCTTCAGTTGCTCACTTTTATTATTTTTTTGCTTCATTCATTTATCTATTATTCAACAGAATTGATAAGTTTTGTACATCATTGATCATTATATGAAGTGTCAACCTCCTAGCATTTTTATATTTACTGCTGACGATAATGGCGTGTAATGATTGTAATTTGTATCATTAAGTTGAAATTCAAAGGTGGAGTCATATTTATATATGAACAAGGTAAATTGTACATTCTTAGCTTTATCTTACAGTAAATAGTTCTTTATTGAAATTTGCAATATTAATAAAAGGAGATGTTTGATAAACACCAATGAGACAGCAACCCAACAAAACACAACACAATACAAAGCAGCATTCAAGTTTGCTTTGTAGGCTGGTTTCTCCAACAATTAGGCCATAGGGAAGGACTCTTCATCCATATTGCATAAATGAAAATTGTTTTTTGAAGATCGCCTTGTATTACTATTAGTCTGATTAAGTATTAAACTTACTACACATATCATATACAAATTAAAACATCGAAAGTTGTTACTAGTGAATAGGTAATTAACCTCTTGAAAGCACTTGTGCACACCTTGCTTCAAGTACTTGTTGATAATTTTCTATACATGTATGTGTTAACTGGTTGGATATTTGTCATTGCTGCGGGAAGTTTTAACATCTGGGGGATAGTACATGTATCAGTATTTTGTTGTATTCATCCATCTATGTGCCAGAATAGTTAATTAGCAGTGAAAATCTGTTATTTTTTTCAATTTTGAACAAATTTTTGTTGAAAATTTCTCAACCATGTTTTTACATAAACTTGTACATTAAGATTGATGTGAACAGTTGTAGATGATTCATTATATCCTAGGTATTCTATTGTTTAAAACGAAATTTTACTTAGTATTTGGTGCAGGTTAAAAATGGTAAAAGATACATTGACATTTTAAGAATGTAGTAATATTGCAGATGGATTAGCTCATTATGAAATGCTTTGTGACTAATGCAAAGTTTGGGGGACAAGGATGTTATATTTTAACTTGCTAAAAGATATTTAAAAGTGCAAAAACACCTCAATCTATTGCAAATGATCAATTCAAATTGATCAATTCATAGCGAGAGCTATTTACTATTTTGATATTGTGGAAGATAAAATTGCTCTGAAAAATTGAAGGCAAATTACCTGAATCATGCAGTTATATCTGGGTAGATTTGATTAATGCATGTATTAATTTCTTATATCTAACTGACCATTTGCAAGGCAAAATTTAGGTAAATGTAGGAATTTTATGTCATGAAAGAACAACATCTTGTTCCTTTACTTTAGGTTATGTCAAGTACATGTAGGGATTTTATGTCACGAAAGAACAACATCTTGTTCCTTTGCTTGAGGTTATGTCAAGTACATGTAGGGATTTTTTATGTCATGAAAGAACAACATCTTGTTCTGTTGCTTTAGGTTTTGTCAAGTACATGTAGGGATTTTATGTCATGAAAGCACAAAATCTTGTTCCTTTGCTTTATGTAATGACAAGTACATGTAGGGATTTTATGTCACGAAAGAATAACATTTTGTTCTTTTGCTTTAGGTTATGACAAGTACATGTAGGGATTTTATATCATGAAAGAACAACATCTTGTTCCTTTACTTTAGGTTATGACAAGTACATGTAGGGATTTTATGCCATGAAAGAACAACATCTTGTTTCTTTGCTTTAGGTTATGACAAGTACATGTAGGGATTTTATGTCATGAAAGAACAACATCTTGTTTCTTTGCTTTAGGTTATGACAAGTACATGTAGGGATTTTATGTCATGAAAGAACAACTTGGTACTTTACTTTAGGTTATGACAAGTACATGTAGGGATTTTATGTCATGAAAGAACAACAACTTGTTCCTTTACCTCAGGTTATGTCAAGTACATGTAGGGATTTTATGTCATGAAAGAACAACATCTTGTTCCTTTGCTTTAGGTTATGACAAGTACATGTAGGGATTTTATGTCATGAAAGAACAACAAGTTGTTCCTTTGCCTAAGGTTATGTCAAGTACATGTAGGGCTTTTATGTCATGAAAGAACAACATCTTGTTCCTTTACCTCAGGTTATGTCAAGTACATGTAGGGATTTTATGTCATGAAAGAACATCTTGTTCCTTTACCTCAGGTTATGTCAAGTACATGTAGGGATTTTATGTCATGAAAGACCAACATCTTGTTTCTTTGCTTTAGGTTATGACAAGTACATGTAGGGATTTTATGTCATGAAAGAACAACAAGTTGTTCCTTTGCCTTAGGTTATGTCAAGTACATGTAGGGATTTTATGTCATGAAAGAACAACATATTGTTCCTTTGCTTTAGGTTATGACAAGTACATGTAGGGATTTTTTGTCATGAAAGAACAACATATTGTTCCTTTGCTTTAGGTTATGACAAGTACATGTAGGGATTTTATGTCATGAAAGAACAACTTGGTACTTTACTTTAGGTTATGACAAGTACATGTAGGGATTTTTGTCATGAAAGAACAACATATTGTTCCTTTGCTTTAGGTTATGACAAGTACATGTAGGGATTTTATGTCATGAAAGAACAACTTGGTATTTTACTTCAGGTTATGACAAGTACATGTAGGAATTTTATGTCATGAAAGAACAACATATTGTTCCTTTGCTTTAGGTTATGTCAAGTACATGTAGGGATTTTATGTCATGAAAGAACAACATCTTGTTCTTTTGCATTAGGTTATCTCAAGTACTTGTAGGGATTTAATGCCATTAAAGAACAGCATCTTGTTTCTATGCTTTAGGTTATGCCAAGTACATGTAGGGATTTTATGTCATGAAAGAACAACATCTTGTTTCTTTGCTTTAGGTTATGACAAGTACATGTAGGGATTTTATGTCGTATACTCAAATATTTGGTTATAAGTAGAAAGTGACTTTTCTGAGATCCCCACATTTTTAAAATTACCTCGTGAGATTGATCATTATGTACAATATAATTAATTTTTGTGACTATTGAATGCGCCACCCCTCCTTTTTCTATGCTAGGCAAAGATGGGAGATTAAATATTAGGCATTCTCATTAAAATGAAACCTCTCAGACTGAGAGCTTCCGAACATATAAATAAGGATAGCAAGTGAGAGGTTTGATTTTAATCAGACTGAATATTAGGTTGATATCTTTTATTAATAGTAATAATTCATTTTACTCTTTTACAGGTTTGGGATGGATGTGAATAAAAATATATTATTGATTTTTCTGTTGATTGTGGATATACTCATAGAACCAGTTGTACAGGGAGCTGACAGCAGAGGCGGGGGACCAGGTAATTGTTTAACAAAATATCCTTTAAGTAGGTTTGAACTACTGTATCACTAGCCTGTCAACACTGAGGTTGTGCATTCGACTCCAATCTTAATTGACTATGATTGTCAGTTTTCCTACCAAAGGTCATGGTTCTCTGGCTTCCTCCATCAATAAAAACTGACTGCCATGAAATGGCACAATAGTTCTGAAAGTGGCGTTAAACACCAATCAATATAGTTAAAATTCTTTGAAAGGACACTGATGTCTATATCTTATGCAAACATTTGACATTGCAAAATATAATTTCTGTTTTAAAAAAAATTACATTCACAAGCCCTTAAATTACAAAATATATAAATGACAATTTGAACTAAAATTAAAAATCAGTTTTATTACAAATAAAGAAAAGGAAGCAGTTTTCTACAAAATAAAAGAAGGAAGCAGTTTTCTGCAAAATAAAAAAAAAGGAACCAGTTTTCTACAAAATAAAAAAAAGGAAGCAGTTTTCTGCAAAATAAAAAAAAGGAAGCAGTTTTCTACAAAATAGATAAAAAGGAAGCAGTTTTCTACAAAAAGAAAAAAGGAAGCAGTTTTCTACAAAATAAAAAAAAAGGAAGCAGTTTTCTACAGAATAAGTTAAAAGAAATTACCACAAATTATCATAGTGAAATTTGGTCTTCTTCTATTGTAATTGTGTGTGGCCTATAGTTTGTGTTACTATAGTAACATTTGACCTACACCACAATAATGTTATTTGCTAGTGAAATGTACTTATTTGTCAAAAAGGTACACACCATTTAATTAAATTACTGTAGATTTCTGGTAGATAAAATACCATTGTACAGCAGACTTCACAGTTATTTATGATTGGGTGTCTAGTGTTAATGGACTATATATATATATATATATGGAGAATGACCTTCCTATATTGTAGTTTGTAGAAAAGGAATTTAAACACCTTGTTGAGCATTTAAAAGCTTATAGATCACATTGGAAACTTGATAATCCAATTATATAGCTAGGAGAGTACAACACAAACTTCTAATGTCGTTGGCATTGGGAAAATGTAACAGGCTGTTAGCTAAGTTAGACCTGAAATAACATGGTTGATTGTGCACTGGACGTCACATCATAACACTATACTAATAGCTATAGGGACTGTTATAACAAAATATTTAGTATTAACAAACAAAAAAAAAAGAGAAAAAGCACTAATATAGAACGAAAAAAATTCTTCCTATATACACATACACATACACATATGTTTTTGAAAAACAAATTATTTTCTAAATATTTGTACATGGACATGATCAATTATTTCTTCTTTCTAAGCTCAGTAATATTTTCTTTTTATGTTAAGTTACAATAAACATAAATTCTGGATCTTCTTTTTGCAGTCACCCAAGAGCAACACATGGAAGTTCATTTAGGTTATTTAAAATCAATAATATTGCTGTCTTGTCCTGCATCACATGTAAACTTTGACATATGAAATTCAATTCTGATTTAATGATCAGTCTATATCATGACTGACATATTAAATATTAAACAACTTAACTTTTGAAGGAAGTATTTTGAATTTCTGTTGATCAAAAATAGGGAGCATTTCCAAGTGAATAATCTACAATTAAATAGTCAACATCATATTTTAACTTCAAACATGTAGTTCATTAATATTAATACAGTATTATAATGGGGCAGAAGGATGGCTAATTATTTTTATTTATAATAATTTTATTAATTCACATATATAGGCGAAAATTGATGTAAACAGTGCTTATTCAAGATGTCTTTTTCCTTTCACTCAAAAAACAAGAGCTTGCATTGGGGATAAATAAAGGAGCATTAGATCTCACTCAATCTCGATTTGATTAAAAATAAAGTGTATTTTTTTAAGGAACATCTCTTTCATTGCTGTTTATCAAACAGATTCTGATATGAATTGGCAAATTTTTGGATGTTCACAGTACAGATAAGTCTGAGTATTGAACAGAGAACTTTTACATTGTCATCAAACTTTATGGACATGTTTCCTATCTGAGCATATCCATGTTTATGAATTAATATAAAAATCATTCATCATAAGACCAATTGACTTGAATGTTAGCAACTATAGGTCGCCATACAGCTTCTACAATAAGCAAAACCCATACCCCATAGTAAACTATAAAAGGTCCTGACTTGACAAAATGTAAGACAACTTAAAAGGAGAGAGAGAACCCAATGGCTTGATTTATATACAAAACAATAAACGAAAAACAAATGATTAACAGCATTGAACGACAACCACTGAATTACAGGCTCCTGACTTGGGAGGGACACATACATAATGTCTGAGGTTAAAAGAAGTCTTGTTATGTTACAAGTTTTACCGGTACATTTACAAAATCTGAAGAAAAAAATAAATAACAGAAAAGATAATTCAATCTTAGAATATGTGTGCTTTTAGTGAAGAAGATGATTCAAATCAATCCCTGTTTGATAAAACATCTTAAACTTAATTATTAATAACCTATACTTAAAGATGTCAATATATATATATATACTGAAATAAATGTTAATCTGAAAAAAAAGATGTCTTAAACGCCCCTGTGCCCCACTTCAAAATGTACTTCTGAAATTAAATCTCTTAATTAAACACTAAATTGACTCTCAAAAAAAAAAATCATCATATCAAACAAGTGCTTCAGTAACTATTTATATATGTACTGTAGGTATTTGCCTTGAAGACAAAAAATGCACTTGTTGATGACAGAGATAGAGTAATTGAATAAATCTCTTGGGAGATATAAGACACCTGATCAATACTTCATCAGTAACTTTGTTTACCTATTCGTTAAGATTGACACAAGTCTAGAGGAGGGTTAACAACATTATTATAGACAAAATTGTAGGAAATTAATGATGTTGACTAGTTTTGGGAGATTGATAGAGGATAAGAGGTTACCTGTACCATTACAGAGTTTAGGGAGATTGATAGAGGATAAGGGGTTACCTGTACCATTACAGATTTGGGGGAGTTTAATAGAGGATAAGGGGTTACCTGTACCATTACAGAGTTTTGGGAGATTGATAGAGGATAAGAGGTTACCTGTACCATTATAGAGTATGGAAAGATTGATAGAGGATAAGGGGTTACCTGTACCATTACAGAGTCTGTGGGGATTAAAAGAGGATAAGGGGTTACCTGTACCATTACAGAGTTTAGGGAGATTGATAGAGGGAAAGGGCTTACCAGTACCATTACAGAGTTTGGGGAGATTGATAGAGGATAAGGGGTTACCTGTAACGTTACAGAGTTTGGGGAGATTGATAGAGGATAAGGGGTTACCTGTACCTTTACAGTTTGGGGAGATTGATAGAGGATAAGAGGTTACCTGTACCATAAGAGTTTGGGGAGATTGATAGAGGATAAGGGGTTACCTGTACCATAATAGAGTTTGGGGAGATTGATAGAGGATAAGGGGTTACCTGTACCATTACAGAGTTTTGGGAGACTGATGGAGGATAAGGGGTTACCTGTACCATTACAGAGTTTGGGGAGATTGATAGAGGATAAGGGGTTACCTGTACCATTACAGAGTTTGGGGAGATTGATAGAGGATAAGGGGTTACCTGTACCTTTACAGTTTGGGGAGATTGATAGAGGATAAGAGGTTACCTGTACCATAAGAGTTTGGGGAGATTGATAGAGGATAAGGGGTTACCTGTACCATAATAGAGTTTAGGGAGATTGATAGAGGATAAGGGGTTACCTGTACCATTACAGAGTTTTGGGAGACTGATGGAGGATAAGGGGTTACCTGTACCATTACAGAGTTTGGGGAGATTGATAGAGGATAAGGGGTTACCTGTACCATTACAGAGTTTGGGGAGATTGATAGAGGATAAGGGGTTACCTGTACCATTACAGAGTCTGGGGAGATTGATAGAGGATAAGGGGTTACCTGTACCATTACAGAGTCTGGGGAGATTGATAGAGGATAAGGGGCTAACTGTACCATAACAGAGTTTGGGGAGATTGATAGAGGATAAGGGGTAACCTGTACCATAATAGAGTTTTGGGGAGATTGATAGAGGATAAGGCGTTATCTGTACCATTACAGAGTTTGGGGAGATTGATAGTGGATAAGGGGTTACCTGTACCATTACAGAGTTTGGGGAGATTGATAGAGGATAAGGGCTAACTGTACCATTACTGAGTCTGGGGAGATTGATAGAGGATAAGGGGTTACCTGTACCTTTACAGTTTGGGGAGATTGATAGAGGATAAGGGCTAACTGTACCATTACTGAGTCTGGGGAGATTGATAGTGGATAAGGGGTTACCTGTACCATTATTACAGAGTTTGGGGAAGATTGATAGAGGATAAGGGGTACACTGTACCATTACAGATCTCCCTCCATATGATCTTGGAATGATAGTCTTATGATGTTTGTATAAAATAAAGGAATTGTGGGGAATACAATAATGTGACAGCAACTCAACAACAAAAGTAACCAAAAGACATCTTGTTGGAACCTACCGTCTTTATGTCAGTCATACTGTGGATTCATTATTATTTGTGGTAGACCAATTTTCATTTGTTTCGTGGGTGAAGGTGAAACACAAAGTTATATATTCAATGAAGTACAAATTTTCTTTGGCTTGTATGCACAATTTTACCTCAATCCACAAAAATCAGTACCCAAGAAAATAAGTAAATCCTTTGGATTTTTTTTTTTCGTGAATTGAACTTGCTGTTAGTTTTCTCTTTTGAATTGTTCACATTTTTTCCTTTCTTGGCCTTTTATAGCTGACTAAAGGTATAGGTTTTACTCACTGCTGAAGGCTGTACCATGACCTATAATTGCTTACATCCACATAATTTGAACACCTTGCATAGGTATAGGTTTTACTTACTGCTGAAGGCTATACCATGACCTATAATTGCTTACATCCACATAATTTGAACACAAGTGGATAGTTTTCTCGTTGGCAATCTCCTTATTTTTATATTCAACAGTAGAAAAGTGTCAAAACAATATGGCCAAAGACCGAAAATACAATGACAAAGGTAACCAAAAGACATAAAGAAAACACACAGTCTTCAACAATTGACAGGTGTCATAATAATATTGCCAAAGACTGAAAATGCAATGACAAAAGTAACCAAAAAGGCACAAAGAGAACACACAGTCTTCAATAATACGCTGGTGTCTTTTAAATATGACAAGCTCTAAATGATCATGAATCTATAAAAGTTATGAATAAATTAAATGGAAATAATCACAGATCTGTCATGAACACCAACTGCTCCAAATAACAAAAAACAATGATTTTATGTGAAACAACCACTGACTAGGTTCCTGACTTTGGAAAGGTAGATAAATATGTGGCAGGGAAGAAATTTTTTTTCATATCTCCCCGCTATTTAGCTTACCTGGTTTGAATGCCCATGTGAGCTGTTGCAATCATTTTGTGTTCGTCATCAGTCCGCCTATCATCTAAATATTTCTTTCAAAATTTTCTCCTCTGAAACCACTCCATGGATTGAAACCAAAGTTTGTCTGCTTCATGTATAAGATGTCTACTATGAAGTTTATGATAATGGTCCAGGTTTATCAACCAACATGACCACATGGCTAAAAATAAAACATAGGGATCCAACTGGAGTTGTTCTCTTATATTAATATAAACTATAGTAATAAGAGAAAGAGAAAACTAACAAGGCTTAAAATGGTCAGCAAAACAAGCTCTGTTTACCCTAAACTGGTTTTGAATCAGTCAACCAGTTTTGGAGTTATGACCCCTAAAGGGAATTTTTAATTTGTTTGGCAGTTCCTGGCTCTTGCATCAAAAGTTATTGGAGCTACATGTATGTGAAAAGTGAAAACTGCAAAAATGATGAACATGTCATGTTCTATCTACCTTTAAAACTTGTTACTTCAGAAAAATATGATGACCCTTTATGAAATATTTGCCCTTGAAATGTACCCGTAAGTTTTTACCAATGTTTGCAATGTGACATGACAAGAATAATCTACTCTGAAAATTTAAAACATATTGGAATAATATATTAAAAAAAAACAAACATGAAATAATCAACCTATTAAGAAATAAGAATGCTTGCAGTTGATGCTGAAAGCAAGCTCAAAGGTCTAAATTTTAAAAATGAAAGCATGCCCTCCTTCAATTAAAACTTGTGATCCCTAATATATATATATCAATCTACATTTATTTAGAAAATTCTGTACATAAAGTGCCCGTTCGTATGTTTTGTAAAGACTGATTTTTATACGCCCGTTTACGGGACGTATTATGGTATACCGTTGTCCGTCTGTCCATCCGTCTGTCCGTCGTCAACATGTCGGACATTAACTCAAAAATGCTTTAACCAATTTGCATAAAACTTTGGTGAATTATTTATATCTATTGACGTGAGCTCCCTTTCGTTTTTTATAATATTTAGATTTTACGTTTCCGAGTTATGGGGTTTTATTCATTAAAAAAAGGGGGATTTTCCAGTTTTCGGACAATAAGTCAAGAATGCTTTCACCAACTTGCAAGAAATTGTGATGAATTGTTTATATCTATTGACATGAGCTCCCTTTCCATTTTTATAAATTTTAAATTTTACGTTTCTGAGTTACAGGGTTTATTCATAAAAAAAGGGGGGATTTTCCAGTTTTTGGACAAAAACTCCAAAATTCTTTCAGCAATTCGTATGAAACTTTGGTGAATTGTTTGTATGTATTGATGTAAGCTCCCTTTAGAATTTTATAAATTTTACATTTTACATTTCTGAGTTATGGGGTTTTATTCATTAAAAAAAGGGGTGATTTTCCAGTTTTCGGACAATAACTCAAAAATGCTGTCACCAATTCTCATGAAGCTTTGGTGAATTGTTTATATCTATTGATGTAAGCTCCCTTTTTATTTCCATAAATATGACATTGAGAATTAATTGAACTTTATTTGTTAATAGTCTGACAACAGATTTACTAAGTATTGGGGACTATTGCACAACAGCAAGAAATCTTTAATTGAATATAAATTCAATTCATATAACCAATTTTAAGTTCTTTGACTACATTTATTCAGAAACCTATAATATGTCAAATATTTAATTACAATCCAAATTCAGACCTGAATCAAGCTTGAATATTGTGTCCATTTTTGCCCCAACTGTTCAGGGTTGGACCTCTGCGGGCGTATCTAGCTGCGCTCAGCGAAGCAGTTTATTCTACATGGAATACTATAAAAGCAGCATGATTAAATTTTTATTAATTTCTGTTACAGCGATAGTACAGCTTTCTCATGACATCCCTAACAGTAATGGAGCAGTCCAGTCTCAGGTTAATCAGCAAGTAGTGAATCAAGTAGAGAAAAACCAGCAAAATGGTGCAAAGACAATTGATAATTATGTCAAAAAGAAAAACAAAAAGAAGAGAAGGAAAAGACGAACCAGTGATACAATGGGAATACCTGCTCATTTAAATAATGAACAAGTTCAGAAGAGAGGAGACATACATGTAAATAGTTCTAATGTTAACAACATTCCAAATAATGGATTTTTAAACATTCAGGATCATGTAAAACAATCCTTAACAGAAAAAAATAATAGTAGAGTTAATGCAGGAAGTAGTATACAACAGTCTATCAATGTAAATACACCTAGTCCTGTTATAAATTCTGTAAATAATGTAGAAAATAAAGTGAAATCAGTGGATAATAGTCATAATTATAAAGCTGTTGTTGACAATAATAATAACATTGCTGCTGAACCCCTAGTACAGAATGGCAATACGGGTCTCAATTCCAATAATGTAGCAAATCAACAAGCTGGCGGGAATAATCAAGCTGTTGAGATTCCAATGAGGCAGTCCGTTGGTCAGGGACGAGGTGACATTCCAGTTCAAAATAATCCTGTAAATTTTGACCAGCAGCAACAACAACAGCAGCAGCAACAACAACAGCAACAACAAGAACAACAACAGCCTGTGTTTCAACAACAACAACAACAAGACAATAGGGCTTCATATCAAACAAATCAAGATTCACTGCCAAAGAAAGAGGAAAGTATGAGAATAATGTGGGATTGGAGTGACTTTCTCATTAATTATGAACAATATGTGATGCCAGAACAGAAGAACCGGCGTGCCCCGCAGGCCACAACAGGTGAACCATGGCCAATGCCGCAGTATTATACAACAAAAAGAAACAAAGTTTATAAAATTAATCGGGACAAATTTCAGTTTAGAATTGTAAAAGAGTCATGTGATATAGTTGAGAAAGCTGTGATCAGGTACAAGGATTATATAATAAATGATACCATCCTGGATATGCATAATAATTTACAATACGCTAGAGGTTCAAACTTTGAAGATTTAGGAGCAAAGTATGAAAAGGAAATGTATCGAAGGGCTCCTTATCTGGATGCAGTTACAGTCAAAATCAGAAGGCCATGTGCCAAACTACCAAGTGATAAAATGGATGAATCTTGTAAGTTTGTTTTTTAATTTTTTTAACTAGTTATGCATATTTCTCAATCAAAATTCTGTACATTATCCATGTTATCTATGGTTTATGAATTTTAAATCTTCAGAATACCTGATTTATGTTCCAACTTTAAAGATTTAGGTCCTTCCAGAAACACTTGTCATTGGAACTGAAATCCTTGTCTTACTTTACCTAGTGTTATTGTCTCGCCCTGACGAGATCAGTCTTTAATAGTTATTGTCCATTAATTTTTTGCATAGTTTTTGTCGAGCATGCGACTTTTGTCGCAGAAAGCTCGACATAGGGATAGTGATCCGGCGGCGGCGGCAGCGGCGTTAGCTAACTTCTTAAAAGCTTTATATTTTAGAAGGTGGAAGACCTGGATGCTTCATACTTTTTATACGACCGCAAAAAAATTTTTGTGGTCGTATATTGGTATGACGTTGGCGTCGTCGTCGTCCGGCGTCGTCGTCGTTGTCTTCGTCGTCCGGCGTCGTCCGAAGACACATTGGTTTTCGCACTCTAACTTTAGTTTAAGTGAATGGATCTTTATGAAATTTTACCACAAGGTTCAATACCACAAAAGGAAGGTTGGGATTGATTTTGGGGGTTATGGTAATAACAGTAAAGGAATTAGGGGCCAAAAAGGGGCCAAAAATAAGCATTTTTGTAACTTCCAGACATAACTTGTGTGTTAGTGTATGGATCTCTCTGACATTGTACCACAAGGTTCCATATCACTAAAGGAATGCTGGGATTGATTTTGGGGGTAATTGCCTCCAAATTTTAGGAATTAGGGGCCAAAAAAGGGGCAAAAAACAAGCATTTTTCTAGTTTCATGACAATAACTTGTGTGTAAGTGTATGGATCTTTCTGAAATTGTACTACAAGGTTCCATATCACAAAGGGAAAGCTGGGTTTGAGTTTGGGGGTAATTGCCCTAAACGTGTAGGAATTTGGGGCCAAAAAGGGGCCAAAAAACACATTTTTTTCTAGTTTCCAGACAATAACTTGTGTTCAAGTGTATGGATCTCTCTGAAATTGTACTGCAAGGTACCATACCACAAAGGGAAGGCTGGGATTGAGTTTGGGGGTGATGAATCATAATGGGGGTTCAAAAAATTTTGGGGGGGGATTTTTTTTTTTTTTCCTTTTTTTTCTTTTTTTCCTTTTTTGTTTCTTTTAAAATTTTCCATTTTAAGTTGGTTATTTCTGATTTATATTTAAAATCAAATAAAAATGATATGGTAGGAGATACACACCAAACAGGATGTGTAAATTATTATATAATAAGTATTGTGCAATAGCAAGAAATTTTCAATTGCACAGTATTGCACAATAGCAAGAAATCTTCAATTGCACAGTATTGCGCAATAGCAAGAAATCTTCAATTGCACAGTATTGCGCAATAGCAAGAAATATCCAATAGCACAATATTGCGCAATAGCAAGAAATTGTCAATTGTACAGTATTGCGCAATAGCAAGAAATATTTAATAGCACAGGATTGTGCAAAAGAAGATACTTCCTATAAATTGCTTATTTCTTGACCAATTTCAATGGGGTTTTATTCTTGATTTCATGGGGTTCTTTAATATGCTGAATCTAACCGTGTATTTAGTTTTTGGATTTTGGGCCCCGTTTTTAAATTGGTCCACATTGAGGTCCAAAGGGTCCAAAATTAAACTTTGTTTGATTTCATCAAAAATTGAATTATTGGGGTTCTTTGATATGCCGAATCTAACTGTGTATTTAGATTCTTAAATTTTGGTTCCGTTTTCAAATTGGTCTACATTAAGGTCCAAAGGGTCCAAAATTAAACTTAGTTTGATTTTAACAAAAATTGAATTCTTAGGCTTCTTTGATATGCTGAATCTAAACATGTATTTAGATTTTTGATTATGGGCCCAGTTTTCAAGTTGGTCCAAATCAGGGTCCAAAATTAAACTTTGTTTGATTTCAACAAAAATTGAATATATGGGGTTCTTTGATATGCTGAATCTAACCATGTATTTAGATTTTTGATTTTTGGGCCCCGTTATCAACTTTATCCACATTGAGGTCAAAAGGGTCCAAAATTAAACTTTGTTTGATTTCATCAAAAATTGAATTATTGGGGTTCTTTGATATGCCGAATCTAACCGTGTATTTAGATTCTTAATTTTTGGTTCCGTTTTCAAATTGGTCTACATTAAGGTCCAAAGAGTCCAAAATTAAACTTAGTTTGATTTTAACAAAAATTGAATTCTTAGGGTTCTTTGATATGCTGAATCTAAACATGTATTTAGATTTTTGATTATGGGCCCAGTTTTCAAGTTGGTCCAAATCGGGGTCCAAAATTAAACTTTGTTTGATTTCAACAAAAATTGAATATATGGGGTTCTTTGATATGCGGAATCTAACCATGTATTTAGATTTTTGATTTTTGGGCCCCGTTATCAACTTTGTCCACATTGAGGTCAAAAGGGTCCAAAATTAAACTTTGTTTGATTTCATCAAAAATTGAATTCTTGGGGTTCTTTGATATGCTGAATCTAACCATGTATTTAGATTTTGGATATTGGACCATAATAGGTGAATATCCAATTTAAAATTTTTAAGTTCTTAGACCACATTCAATCTGTGTTAGAAACCTATGCTGTGTCAAATATTTAATCACAATCCAAATCCAAAGCTGTATCAAGCTTGAATGTTGTGTCCATACTTGCCCCAACTGTTCAGGGTTCGACCTCTGCGGTCGTATCAAGCTGCGCCCCAGCGAAGCATTTTATTATATGGATGCCTCATGTTACAAAGTTTCCGTCAGTCACATGTCCAATGTCCTTGACCTCATTTTCATGGTTCAGTGACTACTTAAAAAAAAAGTTAAGATTTTTTGTAATGTTAAATTCTCTCTTATTATAAGTAATAGGATAACTATATTTGGTATGTGCGTACCTTGCAAGGTCCTCATGCCGGTCAGACAGTTTTCACTTGACCTCGACCTCATTTCATGGATCAACAAGGTTAAGTTTTGGTGGTCAAGTCCATATCTCAGATACTATAAGCAATAGGTCTCGTATATTCGGTGTATGGAAGGACTGTAAGGTGTACATGTCCAACTGGCAGGTGTCATCTGACCTTGACCTCATTTTCATGGTTCAGTGGTTATAGTTAAGTTTTTGTGTTTTGGTCTGTTTTTCTTATACTGTATGCAATAGGTCTACTATATTTGGTGTATGGAATGATTGTAAGGTGTACATGTCTAGCTGGCAGGTGTCATCTGACCTTGACCTCATTTTCATGGTTCAGTGGTTATAGTTAAGTTATTGTGTTTTGGTCTGTTTTTCTAATACTTTATGCAATAGGTCTACCATATTTGATGTATGGAATGATTGTAAGGTGTACATGTCTAGCTGGCAGGTGTCATCTGACCTTGACCTCATTTTCATGGTTCAGTGGTCAAAGTTAAGTTTTTGAGTTTTGGTCTTTTTTTCTAATACTTTATGCAATAGGTCTACTATATTTGGTGTATGGAATGATTGTAAGGTGTACATGTCTAGCTGGCAGGTGTCATCTGACCTTGACCTCATTTTCATGGTTCAGTGGTCAAAGTTAAGTTTTTGAGTTTTGGTCTTTTTTTCTAATACTGTATGCAATAGGTCTACTATATTTGGTGTATGGAATGATTGTAAGGTGTACATGTCTAGCTGGCAGGTGTCATCTGACCTTGACCTCATTTTCATGGTTCAGTGGTCAAAGTTAAGTTTTTGAGTTTTGGTCTTTTTTTCTAATACTGTATGCAATAGGCCTACTATATTTGGTGTATGGAATGATTGTAAGGTGTACATGTCTAGCTGGCAGGTGTCATCTGACCTTGACCTCATTTTCATGGTTCAGTGGTCAAAGTTAAGTGTTTGAGTTTTGGTCTTTTTTTCTAATACTATATGCAATAGGTCAACTATATTTGTTGTATGGAAGAATTGTTAGCTGTACATGCCTGCCTAGCATGGTTCATCTGACCTTGACCTCATTTTCATGGTTCATTGGTCAATGTTTAGTTTACTTGGTTAATGTTAAGTTTATGTGACAGTTGTAATAAAGCTTTATATTTAGGACTATCAACATAATATCAATGATAAGTAAAGAAGGTGAGACATTTCAGTGTGTGCACTCTTGTTGTACATGTTAAAGTTTGTGATGAGGCATTTTTATGCCCCTGCAGTAGACCAAGGGGGCATTATGTGTTACCCTTGACTGTCCGTCCGTCTGTCTGTACATCCAACCATCCATCTATTCTTCCGTCTTTCCGCCCGTCCTATTTTCGTTTCCACACTCTAACTTAAGTTTGCCTCATCCAAATTTTATAAAACTCATACACAATGCTAAGAACCACTACAAGCAGACAGAGCTTGAATTTGGGCATTAAATCATTCTAACTTTCGGCAAATTAAGTTGTTACTTCATTAGAACTTGATGAAATTTGTCTGAAGTAAATTTGCTATCCTTGTATTGCATTAAAAACGTCATATTCCTTTCCAAATAGTGTGTCAAACATTGTTTATTTTTTGTAAATTTTTTTTCGTCCGTCATTTAAATTATTGGGCATATTATTGTACAACTACAGATCGGAGTTGGAATTTCATCAGAAACGGACCTGCTATGACCGAAATCTGGATTTTTACGATTATGACTACGGACGCATGAATGGCACTGCTGACAGACCAAAATTGATCCCAAAAGGAAAAATTACGCATTCCACACGCATTAACATACTTTTGGTTAGATCTTCTTGATTAATGTATATATTTCCATGTATATGCATTGTTTCAATTTATAAGTTAAAGTTGCTCAACTCTGGGACTATTACACTAATATAATTATATTATGTCCAAGCTAAACTGTTCAATTTATATATCTTTTTAATGAGAAATACTCAGTTTCATGAACATGATAACAGAGTAGTTTTTATACGACCGCAAAAAATTTTTACAGTCATATATTGGTATGATGTCGTCGTCGTCG